ATCACAAGCTCCACTGTTCACAGACGTGTCGGGAAAATGCGCGCTACAATAGCCGTATTTCCCATGCCGTCAAGGCACTTCTGAACTCAAGACAACGGAAGAGGCGCTCTGACTTGGGCTAAGGAAAAGAAGCAGGATGGACGTTGGCCACAGTGGTCCAAAGTCCTCTTTTCAGACGAAAAGCGAAGTTTTGTATTTCATTTGGAAGTCAAGGGGCGCCAGAGTGCTGGGAGAAAGGCGTGGGAGAGTAGCAAAATGCAAGTTGCTTGAAATCCGAGTGTGAAGTTCCCACATGTCAGCGGATGGCTTGTGGGGGAGCCGATGTCAGCTGCTGCGGTGATTGGTCCACTGGTTTCAGTCAAGCCCAGAGTAATGCCCAGCTTGTGTACAAGAGATTTGTAGAGCACCTACATGCTTTTCCGCTCTCCGTCTGCTGAAAAGCTCTATGGAGATGAGGAATTCATTTTCCAGCATGATCTGGCACCTGCCCACAGTGCCAAAACCACCAGTAACTGGTGTACTGACCATGGCATTACTGTCCTCGATTGGCCTGCAAATTCCCCTGACCTGAACCCCATAGAGAATATGTGGGGTATTGTGAAGAAGAAGCTGAAAGACACCAGACCCAACAATGCTAATGAGCTAAAGGCCGCTATTGAAGCATCCTGGGCATCCATAACACCTCAGCAATGCCACAGGCTGATTGCCTCCATGCCACGCCGCATTGATGCAGTAATCCGTGCAAAAGGATTCCCAACCAAGTACTGAGTGCATTAATGGACATTTTCAAATGTTTGATTGTGTTTTGCTGTTATAAATCTTTTTTTTTTACTTGGTCTGAGGAACTATTCTAATTTTTTGAGATAGGATTTTTGAGTTTTCTTAAGCTGTATGCCATAATCAGCAATATTAAAATAATAAAAGGCTTGCAATATTTCAGTTGATTTGTAATGAATCCAGAATGTATGACATTTTTGTTTTTTTAATTGCATTACAGAAAATAAAGAACTTTATCACAATATTCTAATTTTCTGAGACAGTCCTGTATACTAGAGTGTGTTATTTTCATTTCTTTAAGGTAAAAACAAGAATTTCAGTAAAGTTTGGTGGAAAGTTGGACAGTTTTAATCTGTACATATATTTATTTCTTTGACAAGACAGGCCAAATCTTTGAATACATTTAACATAGGAGGATGTGGCTCAGTGCGTTAGTTAACTTTTAGATCAAATAATGTTTTTGGAGGGGAACACGGGCGGAGCTACACAATGTGAAGTACTCACAGGACTGAAGGGGATGAGCCTCTCCTCCATCTCTCTCTTCCACAGCTCCAGCAGCAGGCTGCGGTACTCCTGGTTGAAGGGCCCGGCGTAGGACAGGAAGCCTGCGGACAGAAGTACGTCCCCCACCAGGTGTGTGATCTGCGTCTGAAACCCAGCGCTGCTCTCAGTCCAACGCACCTGAAACACAGCCGGACCAGGAGACAGAGGGATGAAATGATGATGTTTAGATCAGGCATGTCCAAAGTCCAATCACAGATAAAATACGACCCGCAGTAATTGTTGCCTTTGTTTGTGGGCCTTTGAACTGGATTTGATTTATATCTGGACTCTTATCTAAAGCGGAGAGTCTTTTCACCACACACACCGCACACACACACTGATCTTATATGCGTCACTTTCCCCCATGAAATATATCTGACGAAAATGGAAATTGATGTGTGATCTATATTGTATTGCATTTCGGTGACGGAGGAGATTTTCCCAAATTAATTAATTTGTTGAATTCTGCTGAATATTTTTGTTTATTATTTGTCAGACCTGATTCTGACTGGCACCCCACTTTATTCAAAATAGGTCAAAGCCGCTTCCAAGTTTAAGGTATTCCATATACTTGTAGTTCGTCAATGTTATCTGGCTCTCCAGAAGTGAATAAAAGGCTTTCAGAGTTGTTCATGCCTGCCTTATATTTGGTTACATTGCCATTTGAAAAATAAAGATAATTGTGATATCAGTGAAAAAAGTTGGGACACCTTTAGATGGGTGGATGACACTGACCTTCTCCCCCCCCAGCCCCTCGATCAGAGCAGTAGCGTTGGACATCTTGCGGCGGCAGGCCTGGGCGTCCTCCTCCAGGTCCTGCTTCTCCTTCATGGCAGCGTCGTAAAGCGCCTGAAGGTTATGAGAAGTTGTTTGATATTATGTCAGATTAAAGTGGCAAATCTACAAGAAAAAACTCACAAATGTTAAAGAATTGTTTTAAAAGACATTTTGAGGTATGTGTTAATGCTCAAAATAGAGACCACTTGCTGTAGGGCTGAAGTACAACTATGAATCAGCCGTCAATGACAACAAGTCTTCAAATCAAAAGAATATATAGAAGAAGAAGATACCTTCACGGAGTCCAGCTCCCGCTGTTTGGCGTCCAGCTGGTCCTGAGCATTAGTGAATTCAGTCTGAGCGACCACCAGACGAGCCTCCTGCAGAGCCAGGTTAGTCTGAACACAAACAGAGGCATGAGGCGACACAGTAAGATATCTGTGTGTTGTGTTCAGGCTCTGTTCACACTGCCCTCCTTTGTGTGTGTACCTTCAGAGGCAGCACCTCCTTGTTGATGGAGAAGAAGTCTGCCATGGCCTGGGTCCAGGAGCAGAGTCCAGCCACGTTCCCGCAGATCCTCTTGGCTGACTCCAGGTTGTAGTCGTCCATATCCAGGTAGGGAGCAAGCAGCTCCACCACCTCCTCTGTGATGGAGTCCTGCAGCACACACACACACACACACACACACACACACACACACACACACACACACACACACACACACACACACACACACACACACACACACACACACACACACAGTGCAGAAGATTCTAGTATATCCTCACGTTGATCACCAAAATGTAGTAAGCCAAATAAAAGAGTACTATGAAAACACTTGAATATTCTTTGAGATTATAGTTGGGAATGCAAGAAAACTATTTTGTGATATATGTTTTATATTTGAAGGTATAAATAGACATTTAAGATTTTTTTCTGGCAAATCTATGTTTTTTAAATCTCAGAGTATATTACTCAGAGGAAATGTGTGAGTTTAATCTCTGAAATTCATTAATTTCCTTTAAATGACCCCCGTCTCCCAGCTCCGCAATTCATCCATTCATTATTTTGACCTGAGAATCTTCACATGTATAATAATATAAATGAGACCTTGCTGAAGTTGAGCAGCATGCTGAGGAAGGATGAGTTCTGCATCAGCTTCATGGCCTCGGCCCACGAAGGTTTGGGACACGGCCGCTCAGGGTCAGCGCTCACCGTGTCGATCTGGGGGCAAAAAGTCGAAAGAGTGAGATGGATGAGAAAGTGTGTGAGGATATTTCACATCAGACGAGACTCTGAGACCTTTCTCTGGAACAGCAGCAGCACGGCGTCCATGATCCTCATGATGAGGTGAGGAGGCTTCTGCAGCTTCCTCACTGTGGCAATGTCCGCCGGCTTAATGGTCTGTAATGTAGAGAGGTGGTTTCAGGAATATAACATGGCATACCAAAGGACCCTACCAACAGTCCTGCATACTGTAGAGTCAAGACCTACATTTTCAGTCGGTGGCTTTAAGTATGGTTTTATTGTATCATGTTTTACAATTGTTATATGTATATTTATATATACTTTTTATATATGTATTGATGTACAGCACTTTGGTCAACTCTGTTGTTTTTAAATGTGCTATACAGTAAGTAAAGTTGGATTGGATTGAAATAATCTTGCTTCAAATGTATGAATGTACTTAATAATTAAACTGCGTCAAGGATATCATTTTCTTGTCACTTTTATGTTTAAAAGCTCATCGTAAAAAATATTTTTCTAATGCCTAAAACATAATTTTGTGTCACTGTGGTCATTTTGTGTCTGTTTAAGGTATTTTGTATCTCTTTGTTGTTAAATTGTTTGTCTTTGTTGCAATATTTTGGTCATTTTGTGTCACCTTGGAGTCATTCTGAGTCTCCTTTGAGTGTGAGTGTGTGTGTGTGTGTGTGTGTGTGTGTGTGTGTGTGTGTGTGTGTGTGTGTGTATGTGTGTGTGTGTGTGTGTGTGTGTGTGTGTGTGTGTGTGTGTGTGTGTGTGTGTGTAAGTGTGTATGTGTGTGTGTGTGTGTATGTATGTATGTATGTATGTATGTATGTGTGTGTGTGTGTGTGTGTGTGTGTGTGTGTGTGTGTGTGTGTGTGTGTGTGTGTGTGTGTGTGTGTGTGTGTGTGTGTGTGTGTGTGTGTGTGTGTGTGTGTGTGTGTGTGTGTGTGTGTGTGTGTGTGTGTGTGTGTGTGTGTGTGTATGTGTGTGTGTGTGTGTGTGTGTGTGTGTGTGTGTGTGTGTGTGTGTGTGTGTGTGTGTGTGTGTGTGTGTGTGTGTGTGTGTGTGTGTGACCTGTAGTGCATCCTCAGCAGCCTGCAGTGCTGGTTTGGCAGCCTCCAGTTTGGTCTCTGCAGAAGCCTTATCAGCTTCTATCTCGTCGACGATGAGCTGAGCTTTATCCTTCACCTTCTGCACCTGCTGCTTCACCTGAACAGAGAGATTACAATTGGGTTGGTTTTTACTCCACCACAAGCTGACAAACACAAACAACCGTATATTCTATCAGCTAACAAACCACTTCCACATCCAGCAGATCATTCACACAGATTATATCAGGAAACATGGAGACTGAACCAGACATGAACAGCCGCATGAACTATTAACCAATAGCTAAAATATGTTAACAAGCTCACGGTTAAGGGGCTTTACAAAAATACAAACCATAGATAGAGAACCATAAAAGCGTTACATACAAAATAAATCATATAAGAAAATGAAATAAAAACAGATTTCACACATCTTGTTGAGTATACATTATTTAAATAAATCCCACATTCCTCCTGATTTCACATTGTGATGTTTTTCTAAAGTAGTGTGTCTTGTGGGACCTTTTCCGCAGCCTGAGCTTTGGCCATGACCTCCTGCAGGACCTCCTCTGCCCTCTCGGAGGCGACGGCGAGCTCCTGCTCCTTCAGCTGCAGCTCCTCTGAGAGGAGGGACACCGCCTGCTCCGCCTCCATCAGTTTACACAGACCTGCAGGAAACAACAACAACAAACTGAATATTACACTGGTTATTCTTTCACTTATCTATACAAAAAAAAGAGGACCTTTTTTAAATCATCTTGTGTCTAAAGAGTTGGAACTATTTTGCAGATTATTTTATCTGATGTCCTCAAATGTCTTCTTTATTAACCTGTTTATTCATATTTTGAGAACTTCTAATTATTGTCTGAAGGATTAAAGAAACCAGAACATATTCCTATTTAATAGAGTTCAGAGAATTTTACCATTTTTTTGCTCACATTTTTTAATGATCTTTGCAGCGCTATGGCAAAACACAAACAAATATTTCAGTTTACTGTTGACAAAGCCTTGGATATTCTCATTCGAGAAGCTGGAACCAAAAAAAAATAATACTAATATTGACTTTAGAAAATGTATGACGATTAAGCTTATATTATGAGCAAAAGGTAACACGAAAGCCTCACCTGTCTTCATACGCTCTGCGAGTGTGCCAACGTCGGCCATCTTGTGTGCATAGATGACCTTGTAGCTGGAGATGAAGGACAGGTAGGATTTTGGCGTCACAAACGTTTGGCGGCGGAATCGCTCAAAATACTCGGCACACTTCTCGGCCACCAGGTCCTGCAGAGGTTAGAGGTCATGTGATTAGTCAGCTGATGATGATAAATGAAAACACACCTCATCGTCATGGTGAGCGCTACCTGAAAGATGCCCATGGTAACCACTATGCTTCGCTTAACATCCTCCGAGCAGCGCAGATCGTGGTACTGGGACAGGAAGTGATGCGACACGGCCACAAGGGCGTCGCGGGGCCAGCGCTGGAACCAGTCCACGGTGCAGCCTGAGATCAGGCCCGGGAACTATAGAGGGCAACGGACAGAGGTCACTGAAACTTTAACCTGTTCTCTCTTTTCATCCATGACACCTTTCACTCACTATCCCTGCACTGCAGCTCAACAAATAGAACACTTTTGGAACAATACAATACATCACAACAATACTTTGCGCATTTCCGGAGAGTAAAGGAGACAAGGAGAGGAAAGGACGGACAAGGAGACTAGAGATGACAAGGAAAGGAGATTATGAGAGAAGAGGAGACAATGAGAGGAGATGAAAAGACAAGGAGAGAAAATAAGCCAAGGCGATGAGAGATAAGGAAAGAACAATGAAAGGAGAGGAAACAAAGCCCTCTCCTCACCTTTAACGCTCGATTCCGAAACTTTTCCCCGACAGGCGAGAAGCAGAGGACGACGTGGAGGTTGCTCCGCACTCGGGACAGGAAGAAGTCGTACAGGTTCTCGGAGGTCGGAGGTCGGCGGGGGTGCTGCCGCTTCATCACAGGAATCAGATCCTGAGAGATGTCGTCCAGCTCATCACGAGCAAACAGGTTAGAGACTTCACCGCTTGCCAGCACATTGTTCATGTATTCTGGAGAGGAGGGGGGAGGTTAGAAGAGACAGTGACAAATTAAAGTGTACAGGACACCTGAATTTCCCTATGGCGATTAATAATGGTTTATCTTATCTTACCAAGGAAGGCCTCATCTTTTATGTCATTGTCAGTGAAGAGGAAAGTGACTCCTCTTCCTCGCTGACCAGCGATACGATACAAGGTCTTCAGATCCTCCAGCAGGTTACTGCTGCTGTACGACCTTGCAGCATGTACACATATAAATGTCATTTTTTTGTTTCTATCTTAAAAGATAAAATGACCGAAAGAATACTTAGTTCATAAGTATTTTCAACTATGAGATGATTAGACCATTATGGGGTCTATTCAATTCAAACATGATCTATAATGGGATTTTAAAAATATTAACTAATTTATTTACGTATGTTCTGCATGATAAAGAAACGTACTCTTGGTGGATGAACATTTTAAAGACCCATAAATAAACCTGTGCGTGTGTGTCTGTTGCTTCAGACCTGGTCAGTGTGATCTGAAAAGTTTGGTATCCTGCAATGAACGACGCCAGCCTGGTTAGGCTCTGCTTCCCTGACCCCCCCACCCCCACCAGCAGGGCGTTCCCCTGCGGCGTCCGCAGGACCCTCGAGATCCGCATCAGGTGGGTCATCGCGTCCTGCAGACAAAGAGGGGTGGGTTACCATGAAAAAAACACAGTAAGGGCAAAAGTGTAAGGGCAAAAGTGTATTTTTATATATATATATATATA